ACGTCGTCGTCTGTCGTCTTTCTTGGTCTTCCATAGATGCTTATATATCTACACATCAGGTTCTTTGGTGTGTAGAGGATAGTTTCAGATTGTCTTGCTTAAATATTTGTTCTCATTAGCGATTCACTTACCGTCAATAATAAGTGTTAAGAGGAAATATGAATACTGAAAACTGCAGATGGGTTGGACACCGCTGATGATCGCATGTTCGGCTGGACGACTGGAAGTTGTTCGATATCTGATCACTCTTCCTTTGGTGAATGTTAATACGCCAAATAACAACAAACAAACTGCTTTACATTATGCTGCAAGTAAAAATAGGCCGCAGGTAATATTCTACATACAGGTCATTATATTCTTTCAATCGTTCGGTAGAAAGTTTGCTTCGCATAAGTCAAATTTAAATTATGAGATCAAATCTGTAATTAACATTTACGGCTGAAACTATTTGATATTACGATTAGGGAACTATTCAGGAATCATTTAAGAAATTATTTAAGATTAGAACTTAAATATTTAAGATTACGACAATTTTACTGAAAAATGGTGCAAACGTGAATGCACAGGACAATTATCAAGCAACACCACTACACCGAGCTGCTTCTCAAGGTCACGAAAAGGTTAGTGATGGGACTGTATGAATAAGTGACCAAACTTCAATGAACATGAAATGATCATGTTTAACTGATCACAACACGTGATAAAATAATTGTTTTTAGATTGTACCTATTTTATTGAATGAACCAAGCTTAAGGATTAATATCACCGATTCTGCTGGTTGTACAGCACTGTAAGTTTACCGGATGCATTTAATAGCTAGGAGATTTTTCTTCTGATTAATTTTTTCTAAGCTAATTAAAATTGAAATCAGAGAAATAAATAAATCAGTTCATCTGTACTTGTTTGTTTTCTTTTGCTTTATTTTCGGAATTTTTTTCTCGAGAGACATTTGGAAACAATTAAGCTTCTTTGTTTTTTCTCCGTAGGCTAAACTCCAACTTTCTATCCAACTCTAACTGAAAACTCTATCCATATTTTCAATCGCTTAATACTTTATGTAAATGAAAACATATCTATTTATAATGGTTTAATATATCTTTGCAGAAATTTGAGCGACTTAAAGTGACCTTTTTCTAATTTTTCTACTTCTGTTTTTATTTTGTTGTTTATTTCGACTTCATTAATGGACCTGAGATTCTTTTTATTTCTTATGCTAAATAGGGAGGTTAAACATCGGAATAAATTGTAGGCATTTGGCAGTGGAGGAACAACGGGAAGACATCGCTATATTGTTGGCGGAACATGGTGCTGATTTGTATTCCGAAAATAAGGTATACTTTGAACTGTTTAAATTTTTTTCTGATGTTTCAGATATTTTCAAATTAAACGTTCTTGGTTGAATTCTAAATTGTTTGGATTTCTTATTATCGCTAGCTAGTGAGAACAAAACTGTCACATTTATCCATACCCTAATCAATAGCAGGATTGGGCGGGATGGTTTTACTTGTGGTTTCCTGATCCCATTTTAGGATTTCAATGAGTTAATCATATTTTCACGGTTTTAAGGAATAAATGGATACTTCTTTCGATATATTATTGATTTCTGATTGGTTGCGTGGAAAATTCTTTTATCATAAACTTTTATCTTTCTTCAGGAAAAACAGACACCTTTAGCCTTGGTGAAAACTAGTGAACTGCAGATGAAGTTAAAAGCTGCCGCCTACCGATACTTATCCAAAACGCGTTAATTTATTGTTAATGTTATATTAATTTCCGTTTTATTATTTGCTTTAAATAGTAAATTTTTTCAATTTATTGTGTTCTTTACTCACATATAATCATTGGTTTTGATGCTTTTGATGATCTCTCTCCAAAATTAAGAACTTTATATAATTTATTAAACCAACCCTTTGCCAGATGACGTATTCGCCCTGCAAAATTAAAATCATTGTAACTGTTAGGACGTGACGACATACCTGAAATAATGGCCGAAATTAGACCGCTTGAAAGGTTTCATTGCCAGCCGTCAGATGCATTCTGTCACTCCTTCTGTACTTGAACCGCTCGCATTTTCCGATCTTAGATAAAGCAGAGAAATAATCCATCCAGGTTGCTCAAAACAATCTCGAATGTGTCTGATGTTACACTGCCACTGCTTTATTATATAATCACGAGATGTACAGATCGATTCGAAAGTGAATTGTGCATGCTATACATTCTACCAAGAATTAGTTACATTTTTTAATTTTTTATGCAAATTACACAAGAAAAAGCATACCCGAGGGAGATGTTATATTCACCGTCAAGTCATTTCTTCATTGTATACTTCATAAGAAGCAGTTATAGGCGGTTGATCTAAAGGCTCTCTCTTCCTCTATGCTTCTTTGTCCTTCTATACAAAAGCCTACTTTCGGATTTGCAAGTTTTTATCCTTTTTTCTCAATTTATTTTTACATTAAAATCTTGATTATTTAAAAAGAGTTTACTGTTGCAGGAATGGCTGAGAACACATTCTTGGGTTGTGATATCAAGGTAACTTTACCTTTTAATTGTCCTCAGACTATGTTCAATGTTTCATAAACATGGTGACAATATGTGGAATTGATATTGTGTTGGAGAAAAAGCATTTTAAAAATAAGTAAAAGTGGATTGTCGCAAAGATATGGATGTACATTGTGGTATCTGTTACAATATTTGCTGGAAGTCTGGAAGTATACCACACCATACGGAATTACAACAAAACGAATAAAATTTTTGACAAAGTGCTATATATTGGTATACCAGTAATCTTTCTTAGCTCAGCTATTCTGGGCTTTATTGCTACATGTTTAGACAATACATGTCTCCTCTGTCCACTTCTAATCATTTTTGTTAGTTCTTATTCATTTATTTTCATAATCGAAATGACCAACCTTTTATTGTCACATCTTGATCTCCTGATCCTTCTCTTGGGATATCTATCCATATTCATAATTGCATGACTGAGTGATTCAAAAGAAGACAAATTTTAATAGTGAACTACCTAAACCCTGGCTTGGATAGTTTCCATTAAATCATTATTACCAAATGATGTTTCTCACCTACCCATTGCAAATATCTTCCTTGGATGTCTCACCTCAAACTTGTCCCGGGGATCCGCGAACAAGAACAGATGATAGAAGAAGGTTAAAGCTATGGCGCAGAATTGATTTATTTCAATCGTCTATTCAGAACGATCTTTTCCCATCCGGTTGCTCCTAAAATTAATGATCAAGGAAAACTGCAAAAAGATATATTGATTTATTCCTATAATCTAATATCCTTATGAATACTTATGGTTTTTAGACAGTTTTACTGCCATTGATTATTGTATCTAATGTACTCTTCTACATGGATTGCATGTCCCAGTTGGAATGTAAAGGTATGCTTATTGATGACCACAGTGTGGATCATATCATACATATAATCTTTTAAATAACCGGGGAAAATACAGGAGAAGTCTGAATGAATAAGATGAAACTATTAAAACAGTCAAAAGGGGAATCACTGTGATTACTCGGGAATCAATCAATGCATTATGTATATATCTGTTAATGGCTAGTTCATCAGTCCATATGATCTTTGTTTAAATTTGAATGAATAAAATGAAGAGAAAGCTGTTGTGCTCGGATATTTCAGGCATACGATCATCTCAACAAAAATTTTACTTTTAGGTGATGAAGTGAGTATTGCTACTACGACGGCTATCTTTATGGGTAGCATAGTCATTTGCATATCAACGATGCTGATTGTTTTTCGTTACTATCGTCAAATAGCACAATAAATTCTAGACAGTATTGCCATCACAGAACACGATCCTTATTCTTAACTCTATTTATAAAATATATCGGAATGAATACGATTAATTGACAAGATTCCATTACAGTGTTGAAACTAAAGGTGAATCAATCCATTAGTCGCATTCAGAATCAGAACATGTATTCTCAGAATCAGAACATGTATTACGACTAATGTTGATCATAAAAAAATTATTATATAAGCAAAATATAATCAGAAATTTACGCTGTATTAGTGCTGAAAATTCCTACAAGGTTACAGAAAGGTTGATTCTTGAAATAGAATCAGTCTGATTATTCTTTGTCCAGAAGTAATAATACCCGTATCGTGCGTAAATGATAAGTGAATGATACTTATGTTCCAATACTGAAAGCAAGAGTTGCCGAACAAACTGTATATTTTGCATTATTATTTATAGATAACTCTCGAAATGCAAAGAAGCTGTCATGAAAATGAAATACTTTGTTGGTAGAATCCATCTTGATTATATCGAAAAAACTCATCCCATCATCATTTGACAATAATTCTTAATACGAAAGAGTATTAAATGACCAAGATAGTCTATTTAAGAGATATTTCTTTGTTCCACCAGTTGATGACATCGTAGGATGACATGGTAGCTGGACCATGTTCAAATTCCTTCTCTTTTTTTTTTTTCATTTACAAATCTAGCTTTCAAAAAATGACAACTACAATAAGGTGTCACCTACTGGGCATTTACTTTCTTTAATATCACTTAAAATCCTGGATGTGTGCATGTTTCGTCTTAGCAACTACAGTTGGCTTACCCAATAGAAGATCCAAATCAATTCCCGATGATAATTGTTGTATTATAAAAGAAATTATTCCTGAATTCTTTTTATGCTGAATTCGCATAAGTTTTGAAAATTTACATCAAATTTTAGTTCATTTTGCATACGTTTCGGTTATTTTTCCATTCTAAGCCTTTCTTTTTCGATGAAGAGAAAAGGGAATATTTATTGTTGTCCAATTCGATTAATTAGCATAAATTAATTGAAGAAACAAAATGTTTGGATATCTGTGGACATTACCAGTAAACTATACTACAAAATAAGATTTTATGGTTAAATTGCATGACCAACAAACAAAATATCATTCTTTTATCAATTCTTCACTATGTATAATTTGCTTCTTCTGATGACAGCAAAAATATGAGCTCAAAAATACGCGATAATCTTCTAGGCCTTCAAACTTCATTGTCACGGTAACCGATTCTTATTTCTGTAAACTCTCCTCGTATTGCTGTAAATTTGGAATTATTGTGAAATATATTGGTCATCAAAACTGTTTAGAATGAAGTGCAAACAAAGTTACTTTAACTTAGATGCTTCTTTTTACTTCCATATTATTAGTTGAATTATTTGTAATTCTATGAAAGCATCATCCAACATTTATCCAACATTCAGCATATCATTTATCGCAAAATATCAATTGATACACTGATAAGATGAGAGAATGAATTTGGAACAGCTCTGATTACTTACTGATAACATCGGGTCATTTTTTCCATTTTCAATCGGTGTTTCTTCACAGATCCATGCTTTATCATACAGTTCAAGTTTGTATTAGGAAATCATTTATACTGAAGTTTTTACGCTGACGTGTTTTTTTTAAATAATTTGGATATGAAAGTGAAGAAAAAAAGAAATTGAGTCACGGATGGTAGGGAAAACGGATTTGAGATCAGAAATGCTTGTAAATTTCCGGGATAAAAGGTGTCTGTATTTATTAATTTCTTTTTCCCCTTACCAGAAAATGTTCTAGAAATTTGATTTTTACTCGTAATTTCTTTGGTGCCTTAAAATAAGATATTCAAATTCAGTTTCAGGAAATTTTCTGGATAAAAATCAAGTATGGAGAGAATAAACAGTCATTATTATGATCGTTATCCGCATTCCTGTATTACTGATCCATCCATCAAACTTTGTTGCCTCCAGGACTAATATCATTACTTCATCTAAGCGGGTTATGTTTTTTCAAAACTGATTCGAGTGCTAACTTCCTTACAGCTTAACGTAAGCTACGAAGTAGAAGAATATCAGCTCATTTTACAACTGCAATCATTATTATTATTGTTGTCGGTACTTTTACATCTTCATGTCGACAAGCTCGTAAATGAAAGATGTTTTTCACTGTAAATTTATTTCAATCATTATCCCTTTAAGAGAACTGAATGGAAATCTTTCTTAATCTCTACTTTGTCTGCCACTGAATCTGAATGACCATTGTCCGGTGGTGCTATTTTATTAGAGAGGAGAGATTCCGAATCAAATTTAAAATGAGTTTTATCCTAAACACTTCAAATAACACTACTAATCGGTCAATGCATGCCCAGTGATGACATAAACACTCCTTTTCAAATAAATGTATTGAAAATTGGAATAACTAAATAAAACTTTTAAAGGATTTGAATTGACATTTGCATTATTTGCTAAGTTTTTTTTCTTTTCGTTTTTAAATTGAATTTCTACAGCCACGCAGATGGTAACAAGCACATACTGCAGATGCACCGCTAATTGTGTCTAAATTAAATTACTGCACAAATGGTAAGACTTAGTCCTTTTCTTCTTTGATAAAAAAGTAAGATTATAGTAATGATCAATATCACTTCGTTTTTGTTGCTTCTTTAGTTGCCTATACCTAAGGAATTTAATATTTTAATCACGTGATCCTTCATCTTTTGCTATATCTTTTCTTCTTTTTTTTTCTCACTTTTTTAATTTTTGTCTTGATAATCTTTCCTGATTTTGATAATGATACAAATTCATGGGGATTGGTTTGAGGGAGCAATAGATGGCGCGAATTTTTCTCTGCTGACAATTTTAATCGGCATTTCAGAATATTAACAGTAATTTTTTATGATAGGAAAGGGTATATGGTGATAGTGCTAGGAGACAAGTATAAGTACTCT